AAATCATAATCTATTTCAGCATTTCAGTGATATATATACAGAATAACAAAATTTCTTATTTGAAGAAACAACTGTGATTTTTCTTTCTAATAATTAGCAAGAAAAAGAGAAATATTAAAATTAGAAAAAATAGATTTTATGATCTGTTATCGTTTCCTTAAAACTGTCAGGATTATGTGTAGAGAAATGTACTTTGCTTCCTTAGACAGCTTTAATTTTATTACTGGTAATTGTCAGTCTAGTAAATACAGCAGAAGTATAAAAACACTAAGACTACAGGACTCTTCAAAGTCATTGCTAACAGTGGAAAAACTGTCAGTTCTCAGTATGGATTACTAAATGTTAAGATTAGCAAAATGAAGATTAGGAAAATTCTCTGGAGTTATTAATATGTCTGTAATAGTTTTCCACTAGATACCCTGGGAAATGTTTACATTCAGAGCCAGAACTACACAGATGGAACATCATCAATATTAAGACATATTGCCAAGCTTAAGGTACTTTTTTCTGAACTACCTACTCTCCAGATTCTTTATTAAAAAACCCACAAAAAATAAAACCAAAACAAAAATAAAACAGACTGACAGAACACAGCAAAAACCCAGGCTTATTTCCCCCACAAACTCCAACACCCTAGTATTAAACAGAGCACAGAGGGTGGCAAAGCTAATAGCACCTGAAATAAATACACCACTCCAACACTGACATATCTGAAAAAGACATCTTTTTCATCAAGGAAAATGAGCCTTTTGTTGTTATTGTCAATTATTTATTTACATTTCTTATATTTCTCTAATTCTACTGAATATTTTATGCATCTCATGAGCAAACGATTAAATTTTACAATTTGTTTTTATTTCAGAGCATTTAGAATTTATTTTACTAAATAAGAAATTAATTAAATCCATCCTCCATTATTAATCATATTAAAACCGCTTCTACAATTAATTGGCACAAACTTCTGTATAGGCAAATAAGTGACACTACCTAGCATTCTTGTAACTTTGTTAAAATTTTACACAAACTTATTTACACATAATAATTTTACACAAAATTATTTTTGCAACTTAGCTCGAAAATCTAAATCGACAGTGAAAGAAATTTTAATCTTCTGACAGTTGGATTTGTTAAATAAAATAGAATTCTCAGAACTTTCTCAATCTTTTGACACTTGGGCTCATGCAGTATCTGTGCATTGGCTGTATGAACTACTAACTGTTTAACTTAACAAAATAAGTTTGGGAAAAAAAACCACACAAATGTGCAACATGAGATACATTAACAAGTAGGTCTCACATTTATTTTACTAATTAAGAGAGAGTCACTATTTTAAGTTTGCTACCACAAGCTTGAATGCACCAACCACTTTTTGTGCCAGTTACTGGCAAAATAAAATGGGCATCTTAATTCGAACAGTTGGTGCATACCACAGCCCAAAAGAGATCTGAGACACCGAGGAAGAATCTGAACTACCTGGACAAATTATAGAAAGAGTAAATCACTTTTGGAGTTGTGAAGGATATTAAAAATGCCTGGAAGAAAAGCTTCCATTTGCATAGGCTTTGAGAAGACAGAATGGTCTACTGAAACCTTAGCTGCCACCAAAATTACTTGTTTTCTGCTTTGGTAACATAGAAAATTATATCTGATAATATAATCCTTTCAAAACCTGTGAATACATATAAAGATTTAGAAAGAACAGAAACATCTGCTAGAGGATTAATGGGGATAACTGAAACTTCTCGTGACTACTCCAGTCCTTCTAACAGAGTACTTTGGCTGTCACAACGACTGAGCTGGACACGTGTCTCCAACATGCCATCCTCACTTAAAATCTGAGCCGGAATAAAGCAAAGAAGAACAACCCTACAATGTTTACCAGGACAACACAATCTGTCAACTGCAGATCACTTCTGCAAAGCCACAGGCTGTTGTCACCTGTCTGAAAACACATCATTGATGCTCTTGCATTTCCAGGAGAGGGATCAGCTCGAAGTAGCCCCACTAATGGGATTCTGCAACTTTAGTTTCCTCCCAGTATAAAATAGGCCCATGGTCTTCAAACATCTCACACTGACAGGAATGGTGGCTGATGTGCTTTGCAGTAACAGAGCAAACCCACGATTTTTGAAACAGAACACATACAGCTCATACAAAGGTCCGATTCTCAAACAGAGACCACAGTGTTGTCCAACTCATTCTCTTTAGAGGGGATGCAAAGGAAGACACAACACATTTGTCTGCGGAACCACAAGTGCCCCAGGCAAAACACTGAAAGGAGAAATCTGAACTCATTCTCATACTTGCTTTCAAATCTGGTATTTTTCACTTTATAAAATAAGGACCCACGTTGGCCACACCTGTGCAATATCGTGTATGCAGATAAACGCATTTGCTCCCTGCAGGGCAGCATTAACTGCTAAAAACTTGTCAAAGGGCCCCCAGTGAAGAGCTCTGTTTTACACAGTCATTTCCTGTTACACTTGGATATACTGGTAATCCAGGACAAAGCTGCTGGTTTTGAAGGGGGAGTGATGGTCAGAAAAAGGATGAACCATAACAAGAACAGTGAGACTGCAGTTGACCAATTTGACAATCAGAATTTGCGGCTTGCAAAACACTTCCATTCTGCCACCTCTCTTACAGAAGGCAGAAGATGATGAGAAACTTACCCCTAACTGCCTGCAGGTTTTTTCAATAAATGGCAGAGGAACTCAGAAGAGGTAAGATGTGAAGCATTGTCTTCTCTCCAAAGCCAGGGAGATTTCCTCACATCTGCTATTTCTTGATTGAGTCTCTGCTCCTGATGGGATCTCTCCACTTTGGAAATTAACACAGGAGGCCCATACTTTGGCATGTCTGCCCTAAATTTTTCAAATTCATCTTAATATACCAAAGTACATTAATCTACTTAGTGAACTTTCATTTTGTTTCTGAAAAGGAGGAGGGAAAAAAGGAACTTGGAGGCAAAAAGTATCTAACATTAACTGATATTCTCTCTGAATTTTCCTCAGATACAAAAAATGCAAACTACAAGCCACAAAGTATGTAAAATTTCTGAAGAAGGCTACGGAGAAGTCAGAAATTCCACCTAGAACACTGCAAAAACTTGATTATTTAGTTCTTCCCTTGTAAGCATAGCAAAATTTATAAAATGTTGCAGAGGAAAATTATATTTTTTGAGGTTTCTTTCATTGGTTTTTGGTTTATACAACAGAGATGTGAGGTTTCGCTTACAATGGCCTTTAAAAACTAAAGCCATATCTACAGAGAAACTGCTTCTTCATCATAAAATCACATCCAAAATTTCTGTGAATGTTCAGTGTTAGATCAGAACTTGTGCTAATCTGGCAAGGAAAAAAACTTCAGCTTCTAAGTCTCATCACTACGACATTTATGCCAATATTTTTAAAAGTGAGGAAGATCATTATTTACTTAGCATTCCAGTAACACTGTGTTTGAGAGGAGAGACTGGTGATCCATGAGACATTCACTCCTGGGAAAGTTCATTCTGAAATAGCTAAAAACTGAATGTTATGTTCCTGAGGCCTGTTCCTACAGCAATACATATTTGTCTTTTGATTGTGAGTTTTCAGTCAAACAAATGTTCAAAAAATTTATTGCCCCTCTTTTTTTTTTTTGAATTCCCTTTTTATAAAGTCCATTTACATTTATTAATTTTTGCAAAGCTGAACAGGTATGAAAGAACAGTAATAAAAAAAGGAAAGGAGGCCAGCATGTAATAAACCAGAACTAATCCAACTAATAACTTTAACACTGGACAATCTTATCAGGAGAGATTGTCATGAAAGGCAAACAAACATCTATCTTATTTTTCCTTTTCATATGTGTATCTGTGCTACTATAAATTTATCAAATAAAAGACAAAGAAAATTAAAAAAAAAAATCAGGAAGGTACTGTTTATTAAAGGAATGCAGTCAAAAAAATTCCTAAAACAGAATGCAGTAAAAAAATTTATCTAAAACAATTATTTCTCAGTAGATAACAAGGGAGGGGCAGATAATTAATATTTAATTTACTGAGTTATTTCATTAGATGCAAGGTCTCAAAGCCTTCCACTTCCAAGCTTCCTCTCTTAATAACTTCTCCCTCCTAAATTTATAAAACATTAGAAGCCTAATTTTTTTTTTTTTCAGAAATGATTCAAGATACAAAGCTGAATGTGTTTGGAAAAAGCCTAGCATCTATAATTTTGTTTTTTAGTTGATATACTTTGCTCCAGCATTTACATTTGCTATTTTGAACTGTTTCTTAGAAAGACTCCAGGTTGATTTGAAACTAAGGTCAGCCTTTTGACATTTTCTTTGTAAGAGCACCAGTGTTAATAAATAAATAAATTAGAGATATTTTCCTCTATAATAGCCTAGTTTAAAAATCATAACCTCATTGCTTGAGTGTTCATTTAGTTAAATCGTGGGTCTCACCTTGGCATTTAATTAGTCACTTGGAAAAAAAACAAACAAAAGAAATCACCAAATCCTGTCATGTGGGCATATATTTGTACTGTGTAAGTTATTGCTTAATGATTTTAATTTCAGAAGTAGTATTTATTCACTTCACTTGCTGAAATGTGTTAGCCTCTCTGTAAATGTAATATCAAATATAAGAACTATTTTTCATTTCCCTTTTATGTCCAATCTCTTTGTTTTACATCCTCAGGTTGATGTCCTTAAAAGTGTCTTTGGACTCTCTAGTACCCCAAAATTAATTTGACAAACACTCAAAAGAATAAGAAATAAGTATTTCAATTTTTTCTCTAATGGAATATTTGTCCTTTAAGGTATTTCCTGCCTGGAGCATGTACTGTGCTTTTCTCAGCTTAATTCAATTCATTTTTCGTATCTAACAATGGGAAGAATTTCTTTCCTTCATTTTCATCATTCATGTAATATTTCCAATCTATTGTACATGTGCTTTGTTTGAGTCAAGTGTTCACCTCTAGCTGCTTTGAAAAATATTAGTGTGAAAACACACTCACCTTCAGGCTCCCCACAGAGTGTACACTGTGACTCTGCAAAGAAAAACAGAAAATTATAATTTCTTTATTTTAAGATGTCACAATTATATGCAAATATAACAAAACTTAAGAGAACTCAAAATTAGCATGAAAAATGCAATTCTATTTTCAGCACACATTTCTTAACAGCTGCAAATTAATCTTCAAAAAAGAGTTTCTGCAGGAAGAATTTTAAAACAGAAATATATAAAAGCTTAGTTACATTTATATAACTATCACCTTCAGAGACTCCAGCTGAATGCTTTCATGTATCAGGACGTTTTGCTTCCACTTGACTTTTTTGTATTTTTATACATACAATACTGTAGTGACAACAGTCACTCGAATAAAAGTTTAATCCTCCTAATATTTTATTTTTGGAGGCAGCAAACAGTAAAAGTGTCAGAGTTGTTATATCCCCTTCCCATAAAAGAATCCCAAGTCCTCCCAGGCAAGAAAAGTCAAACAGTCATGTAAATGTGCAGTTATACTCTGCAAAATATTCAAGTACAGAAGTGAAGAATAAAACTCCATCATAACAAATGGACAATCTCTAAATGCGCAGTTACTATTTTATCTACACACTACTGTTTGAAGTTGGCTGTCTTAAAAAATATTTTGCATAATTTACAAACATATGCACACATGGAGGAAATATTTTGAAGCATCCTTTAACCCAACCTGCTTCAGGAGTTAGTATCAAGCTGTAGAAGAAAGCTATTGTTTAGAATCCAAATACCTCAAACAATTGAAATCACAGGGGATGTAATCATGTTGGCAGATAATTCTGATATACTTGTAAAAGTCTTACTAGAATAAGAAAGCACAGTATATTTTAAATCACAAATCTCTGAAATCTCCATTTTAACACTCAGCTGAAGAATGACATTTCTAACAGAAACAAGAATGCTGAAGTAAATATATATATATAAATGCAGGCTCACACACACGTGCATGTATATGATTTTATATAAAACTACAAAAAGCAGCTTAACATGCCTGGTCTATAAAAATCCAATACAGTAGCTTGCTGAAATTATCTCCATCTTGAATAACCAATAGAAGATTGGACTTTAGCTGTGATCTTGACTCAAAGGCAAAAAAAAGCCAGTAAAATAGAATATGAAACACATGCACTGAACAGATTGACCTTTATAGCGCTGCTGTGACACTGAGAGTTATTTAGAAGTACTTTCTCCATACAGATAAGAAGCTGTCTCACAGTAGCCCACTGTTGTAATGGCACTTGACCCTACATCTTTCATATATTTTAAACACGTTAATCATTGTGGTTTTACTACTGCTAGACGCTGTAGCGTGCACGAGGGAAAAGAATGAGAAAAAAATCAGCTTATCCAGGCAGCTCTGCTGCTGATAGGTGGATCACAACTTTCAGAACAGCATAAAGTTGCATGATTGGGAGGGATTAAATTTGATGCAGTTCAGCACCATGAAACCTGGAGCTGAACAGTCTATTGATAACGACTCACTAACGCTCCAGCAGCTCTGACAAACTGAAAACAACACCCCAACATCAGCGTTGAGAAAACCTCCAATGAAAAGCACAAAAAGCCTGGTCTCTGATAACTCAGCCCAATTTCTTTCACTGCTGAAAAAAATGCACTTGCCGCAAGCCAAAGTGATGCAGAGGAAGCAGCTCAGAAGATCTTATTTTCACTTTTAATTCAAAGACTTTCTGAGGTTTTACCGAGATGGGCTGCCTGCCTGCCTTTGTGAAGTTTATTTTCCTGATTGATAAGGAAGAACAAGCCGAGACTTGGTTTCTGAACTTCTGACTTGTTTCTGATCCTCTGTGTTCTGCTAACAACTGTTTCATTGGTTTGTTACAAAGAGTCTGCCTGACATTTTTTGCAGCTCAAAACACCATCCTCCAAAAGTCCCCACTGAAGAGTACAAATTAGTAGCTTCCCTCTTTTTTCCTCATAAACATAAATTAGTGCCAATATAGCAAGTCTGCAGCAGGCTAGATAGTCTACCCGCAAAATAAGGGATTGCAGCTATGCCTAATGCCAGAAAGCTGTCCAAAAGCTAGAGAAGTGTCAGAACTATCCCTGCCAGACCACTGCTTTGTTGGAATTCTTTCAGTTGTTTCTTTAAGGTCCCATCTCTATGGGCAACCCAGGTGTTTCTACCCCTATCTCAGCATACCTGAGGAGAGTTCATAGGGAAGGGGGTGGGGTGTTTTAATTCACCCGTGTATGTCTTCCAGAGGCTGAGAATCATTTCAAACTGACAGCAGCACCTCTCTCCCTACACTGGTAAGAAGCAGACTTGGTGGATGTGAATGATTCACCGGTAAGCCTCTGTGTTAGAATTTCCCCACTGTACTTTGCCATTGTGGGGGAGGATAAGATACCCTTTTTGTTGTGCTTGACACATACAGATTGAGTGACAAATAAAAACAGAACCACTGCTACTAGGCATGTGAACATGACAAGGAGGTTGTACAGAGCTCTGTTTTCCACAGAGCCTCTGTGTGAGAGAGAGGGAGAGAGAAATAATTATTCGATACTAAGGTCTGTTTAGATCTGTACATTCTATGGTTATTGTTGAGAGATTGCATGCCCTAAGTTTCCAAAACTAAAATCACAAAAAATATGCACATAGCACTCAATTATTTGTAGATTTACATTATACGGAAATACATAAATCTTAAAATTCTGTAAAGAAGCTATGACTTGACACTCAACTATTTTCCTCTGTAATGAAGTTGTTGTATCTTGTTAGGAAAGGTCTTTCTGGAAGGCAGCTCAATACTAAGCACCTGTACTAATTTAAAATTTTTCTATTTAAATTTCATTTCTGGGGAGAGATGACAGCAGTGAAGGACATGACCACAGTATAAAAAGTTACCACTCCATCCAGTGAAATTACAGTTTTTAGGCTTAGATGGATCTCACCCAAGACTGAGTGCCTCAGTATTAGTGTTCAAAATCTTACGTACCCTTAAAAAATTTACCTATCTGTGGAAACAGCCATCTAATCTGCCTTAGAAACACATGTAGCATGGGATGAATCAATAAATCACTTCTTTTAAAGTACCCATTCATTTTTTCATGTCATAAGAGGTCCAAGACTACAACTTCATAGTAACATTCACTGCGAAAGAGAAATGTTCATTGTAGGTGACCTCTGGAGGTCACATATCTCAGCCTCCCACTGAGAGCAAAGCAGAGCTGTTGCCAACCGAACTTCAGTTCAGCTGTGGCTTAATTGTCAAGTCCTGAAAGCCACCAAGGATGGAGATTCCACAACCTCAAAGAGCAGCCTGCTCCAGTGCTGCATCAGCCTTGTTGGGCCCTATCTGAATGTCTCAGTCTGCAGTTTGTGGTCATTCATCCTTATGACATCACGCAGCACTGCCAAAATGACTTTGGCTCCAGCCTGTCTGCAACTCCCCTTCAAATAGCTGTAACCTACTGTGGATCTTCACCCCAGCTGACTAAATAAGCCCAACTCTTTCAACTACTCTGACCAGAGGGCCCTCTGCTAGACTCACTCCAGTTTCTCCCTGTGCTTGCGAAAGCAGGGAGCCCCAGCCACTGAACACAGTATTCCAGGTGCAGCCCCCAGCACCAGAATGAAACAATAACCTCCTTGACTTGCCCATCCTACTCATCCTGGCATAGCCCAACATGGACTTTACCTGTTTGCAACGAGGACACTGCTCACTCTACGCAACTTGGTATTCATATTCGTTCAGGAAAAAAAAAGTTAATAAATTAAGTCTTAGCAAGATCAGTCCCCTGATCCAAGTCTCTCACCAATTATAGCAATGCTGTATGTGAAATCTCAGCCTCAGACAAGTGACTTCTCTACACCCATGCTGGATGAAATGTCAAAAGCAAAAGTGCTTAAGACACTTAATGTTGTGATGGAATACGAGCACAGAAGTGACCACATTTCAAAGATATTTAACAGAATATGTTGAGTTGGCAGGGACCCACAAGGATCATCAAGTCCAGCTGCTGATCCTGCACAGGACCATCCCCAAGAGTCACATCATGTGCCTTAGAATATTGTCCAAACACTTCTTGACCTCTGTGAGGCTTGGTGCTGTGACCACTGCCCTGGGGAACCTGTTCCAGCACCCTCCCCTGATATAACTTCAGGCCATTCCCTTGGGTCCTGTAACTGGTCACTGCAGAGAAGTGGTCACTGCTCCTCCTCTTCCCCTCATGAGGAAATTGTAGAGTGTGATAAGGTCTCCCCTCAGTCTCCTTTTCTCCAGAATGAACAGATGAAGTGACTTCAGCTGCTCCTCATAGGGTTTCCCCTCTTTTGGACACTCTCTAAGAGCTTAATATCTTTCTTACATTGTGGTGCTGAAAACTCCACACAATATTCAAGGTGAGGCCGCATCAGTGCAGAGCAGAGCAGGACAATCCCCTCCCTCAACCAGCTGGCCATGCTTTGCCTGATGCTCCTCAAGACAGGTTGACCCTCCTGGCTGCCAGGACACTGCTGACTCATATTTAACTTGCCCATCAATCAGGACCCCCAGGTCCCTTTTCCTGGCACTGCTTTCCAGCATCTCATTCCCCAGTCTGTACGTACATCCAGGGCAGCCCCATCCCAGGTGTGGGATCTGGCAGTTTTCCTTGTCAAATTTCATACGGTTGGTGATTGCCCAGTCCTGTAATTTGTCAAGGTCTCTCTGTAGGGCCTCCCTGCCTTTAAGCCTCTCCCTTGCACAACTCCTAGTAATGGATTACGTCTCTACATGTTGCAATACTTTAGATGGACCAGATGATACTTTCACCGGAGGAATTCTTTCTTTTCAGTATATTGCTAACCAGTTGGACTTAACAAGTTACTCCTTCTTGCAAACACTCACACACCTGAGTAATTTCTTTGTCATATATCTCAATAGTAAAATGACTAATATAGGCAAGTATTCAGAGATTTAGGATCCAATAAATCAATAGGACAAGGAAAACCTGTATATATATTATTAATCTCACTCTGTCATTTTGAAATTGTCTAGCCAAGAG